TCAACAACTTCTCAATGTTCACAATCTTCCTTCTTTCGATAAACATGCACAAAATATTATTGATCATTTAATCAAAATTCTACAAAATCCATCATCAACTAATCCAAATGATGATGCACTGATTATTGTTGCATTAAAAACATTCTGTAATTTAACGAAAAATTCTGAAATTCGTATGATTATGAAAAAACGTCGTTTAATATATCTCTTCAATAGATATACTGATATTGAAATGGGTGAAAAACGAAAGTTAGCATTTGAAATTCTGGCAGAAATTATGGATGAACAAGAAGTTAACGATAATTCAAGTGAAATAACTTCTATTTTTATTGATCAACTCAAACAACTTAATCAAAATGAATATAATCCAAACCTTGATAATACATTATCAAGTCTCAATGGTATGATATTGAGAGAAAAACAAAAAATAGAATGTGACCTTTAGATCATTATCTATTGTTTGAAAAAGACTATTTAATATTAAAAAATTTTTTATCTTGTAGCATTGATACAACATGAACAGATAAAAAATGAATTTATTAAACAAGATGGTCTCGAAAAATTCATTACATTTATTCGTGATGGTGATCCAAGTAAACAATCTAGTAAACAGTTAGAAGATGCTCTTAAAATACTTTGGTCATGTACATTCAACAATCCTGAAGTGTTGAACAAACTAAAACAAGATCAAAATTTAATGACTCGTGTCAATCATTTACTTGAAATATCAAGGCAAAATAAAGATACTACATTAGAAAAGGCAGCTGAAGGTCTCATTTGGAAAGTAGAAAAAGAAGAAAAATTCATAGAAGAACAAATTGCTGAAGCAGAAAAGAAAAAACGAAAAACTCAAGAAACTGGCATTGAAGAAGAAGAAGAAGAAGAAGAAAAAGAAGAAGAACAAAAATATGATTTTATGATATCTTATTCATGGGCTGATATTGACTTAGCTCATCGTATCTTTAACTATTTAACTGAAAAACTTGGTTATAAAGTTTGGCTTGATCAAGAACAAATGCATGGATCAACAATCCAAGCAATGGTATTTAAACTATCAATTATATAAATTAATAAATATTATTCATGATTTTTTTCTTTCTATAGGCAAATGCAGTTGAAAATGCTGAATTTATTCTAATGTGTATGTCAGAAACATATAAACGAAGTGCAAATTGTCAATCTGAAGCTGAATATGCATTTAATCGTAAAAAACATATAGTTCCAATTAAGATGAAAAAAGATTATGTAGCAGATGGATGGTTAGGTTTTATATTAGGTACTCGAATGTATATTGATTTCGGTACATATGATTTCGATAAAGCAATCCAATTACTTGAAAATGAAATACGATTGCAGAAGAAAAAGCGTAAAGATGCTAAAGAAGCTGCTAAGTAAGATAAAATAGTTAAGATTTTCTTTAGTAAGAATTCTTAAGAATTATTTAGAATGGAAAAGAAAATTGAAATAGATAATCAAAATAAGAAAAATGTAAATGAAGAAATTGAAAGTCACCATAATGGAATAGAAGAAGCAATGAACTTCGATAATATTTTAAATTGGAATGAAAATGTTGTACGAGATTTTCTCATGAGAAAAAATCTTTCAGATTTTTTACCACTTTGTGATGGAATTAATGGTAATGAATTAAACAATTTATATGATATGTGTAGAAACAATTCAGCGTTGATGTATGATGCATTAACATCTGAACTTTTAAAACTTCACGATAAATTTTTACCAATTTCTACTTATCTTCATTTTATGAGTCGTCTAGGTGCTGTTTGTGCTGATAATTTACCTTTAAATCCATTGATTTATAGGAAATACTTGGAAGAATATTTACACGATGATGAATAAAGGTTTTGCCAATACTTTCTCTTGGACAATTGAACATAAATTTCTTTCTATGAAGTGAATTTTAAAAAATTTATATGTGAAATATTTTCTTATATTTAGCAATGAATAAATTTATGAACGTAGCCAAATAAACACATTTATTCTATAAATGTTCGATAAACTAACAATTGTTTACACTGGTTTTCGAAGTCAAAACATAAACTGTATTGTTATAATTGTTTTATTTTGGTATTCGTTATAACATTATTTGATAAAAGAGAGTTTTCGGAAATTTTCATCAATTATTTTACCATAAAAAAATTTTAAACTTTTCTCTTAAAACATGTGAATGTAAAATTTTTTGAAGTAAGATGCATGGCACAAAAGTGGAGTGAATTTTGTTGTACATTAATTTATATGTATAGTTGTTGACAAAAGTTTAAGCGAATTTGTTGCCCAGTGTATGATTTGATAGAGTTTAAAGAGCTCATTATAGATATACACTTTTTATTTGAATTAGGTTACCCCTTGGTTGAAAAACGACTCAAATACTGATAGAGTCAATAATATAACCAAAATCACTGGTTTTTCAAAATAACTCTTTAGTGTCTATAAAATCTTTGAAAATATTTTTTTCTAATTCATCATCAAAAACTGAATAGAAAAATATTATTTTTTTAGATTTAAAATAAATAATATAGAAAGCTGTTATCAATATATGCAAGCTTATAGCATGTATTGTTCGACAACGTTTGTAAACCTATCTAGTAGTTAGCTTTTTCCGACCGATGATAAGATCAAATGTCTTATTTCATTTAAATTAGCCTGTTTCGAGCTAGAAAAATATCCATTTGATTTTTTAAAACTTGGCTTTTATTGTTGGAAAATTTGAATATCCTCGTTTTAAAAGTAAAAAGTTCAAAAATGATTTTGTTTATTGTAGTTACCATTATCAAAAATCAGTTGAAAAATAAAATAAACATCATATTCATAATCAGCGTGAAAATCTATACTGATTCACATATATTTTATCAAAATTAATTTACCACGAACAGCATTTTTCTTCTGAAATCTTATCTATGATCGATTTTTCATTTCACACAGAATCTGCTGAAATGTATGTGGGTGCGAGTAGATGTTCACGCTGATAGTGAATATGATGTTTATTTTGTTTTTCAACTGGTTTTTGATGATAGAAACTGCCATAAACAAGATCATTTTTGGGTCTTTTACATTTGAAACAAACAAATATTCAAATTTCTCAACAATAAAAGCCAAGTTTTAAAAAACCAAATGGATATTTTTCGAGCTCGAAACAGGCTAATTTAAATGAAATAAGACATTTGATCTTATCATCGGTCGGAAAAAGCTAACTACTAGATAGGTTTACAAACGTTGTCGAACAATACATGCTATAAGCTTGCATATATTGATAACAGCTTTCTATATTATTTATTTTAAATCTAAAAAAATAATATTTTTCTACTCAATTTTTGATGATGAATTAGAAAAAAATATTTTCAAAGATTTTATAGATACTAAAGAGTTATTTTGAAAAACCAGTGATTTTGGTTATATTGTTGACCCTATCAGTATTTGGGTCGTTTTTCGACTAAGAAATAATCTAATTCAAATAAAAAATATATATTCATAACGAGCTCTTCAAACTCTATCAAACCATATATGTATATACACACACATATATATATAAATCTAAATCAATGAAAAATAAAATCCAATTCAATTTTGTGTTATGTAAATTTTATTTGTACTGCTAGTGTATTCAGGTAAACAATGGATGATAGTGCGAAAAGCGATCACGATCATTAAAAAAATGCCAATGTTTCTTGTCGAAAAAATTATTATTTAGTAAGTTTAGATAGTTATGAATGTAGTAATGAATTGAAGTCTTAACAGTTGATGACAATATATAAATGATTAAAATTCTTAAATGCAAAATATGTAAGAAAGTGATTTTCTTTACTTGTCCATTCAAACGTGAAAGCTTAAAATGCATATATAACTGCATCTAAAATGCTGCGTGTGCATACACGATGTGCTTTTACATGAGATGCATGTCATAGTGTTATAGGGCATACCATATACTCGACTATTTGCAATGCTACTTTGGGCATGTAGATGCATACAATTATCGCATGCAATAAGACGCAATCATTTTTTTAACTAACTCTCACATGCACATACGATAGAATTCGAGAATGACCAAAAAAGAACGAAACATATGTGGTAACCTTGTATGAACACACAGTGGTCTTCTGCGAAGAGATGGGATTTGAATATATATACTTTATTTTTGTAAGACGAACCTTTCACCATCTAACTATTTACTTATTCATCAGAAGTGTAATTAAAACTGAAAGACATGATGATGATCGAATAAATATGAGTTACGCATGTTCATAAATATTAACTCCCGTGAAGAAATTCAAAAAGTAAATGAGATGTTTGAGTTAATGTAGCTATTTATACAGAAGAGCGACCTTATTTTAACAAAAAATAAATAAATATACGTCGAAGAAAATAGTTAGCTCTATGCATGGACCAATATATACACTACAAAATAGCTAAAATTTGCATTTTAGTACAGAATCACTTTGGTAATAGTTGTCACAGATACAAACTTTTGATGTTGACATACAGGATTTAACAAAATTCTAATCATCCTGCAGGTACACGCAAATAATATTTTGTCATTTGCATGCGAGCGTTTGCAAGATAAGAGTTATGCATATTATTGTCTAACATACGTCTATGCATATAGTACCGTTTTGCATTTATGCTCAATAATTCTTGATAATTCAGATAATTTGCATGTTCATCAATGAGACGCATTGGCTGGGAAAATATCTTGCAAGTGAAAACGAGTTTTTGATAATTTCTCGCAAATATACGTGTTTTTTAAAGTTTCGTGTTTGACTTGGAATTGAATTATAATTTGATATTTATACTTCTTTATTGTCAAAAATGTGTAATGGAAAAACAATTTTATTCAGCATATTTGGTAATTTTCATAGTTCATAGAAACAAACAATATCAAATAATACTGAAAACATGCCTCGTTTAGATAAACAAAACTCTGATATTGTCCTTATAGATAAAGAGAACTAAATGTATGTAAAAGAGGCAAAATAAAAATTTTCTCTTTCTTTATGACAAAGATCAATAAATAGTGTCACCGTATCGAATCAATGTCGTTCGATGATAAGCATGAAGAGTAATTTATCAGTAAACATCAACAATTACATGTTCTAAAGTTTGTTTTCTTATTCAGATAATTTGTACATTAATCGAAATATGTTTTCAAAGTGATAGTCAAAGGAGAAAGAGCTGATTTTTCTGAGGTTTTTTATGAATTTTAAATGAAAAAAATTCAATTTAATCAAAAAAAAAAGTCTAGTTTTCCACGCTGTGTGACTTGATTCTAAGTATTTTCTTTTGATTTAAGCGTATACATAGAACCTGGTTGTTAAAAGAAGACGATTCGTACATATAGAGAATGCAGTCTACTATAATAATTAGAAAAACGTGATGTTTTCTATATTTCAGATTATTTGTATTTTTTTGAAGTTTTTGATTACACTGATTTTTTTTATTCGAAGTTCATACGCAATTAAAAAAACTAAATGTTTACCCTTGAGTTTTTAATCAAAATATCTGATTTCAGCTCTTTCCTCTTCATTGATAGTACATAAAGCAATTATCAGACAGTCGAACAAAACCTCCCCATGCAAACAAATACCAGGTGTGGCAAAAGTTTTGTGGTATTTTTTGTTCTGCATGTAACTCTGTTCATGAACATAATGAAACATTAACTTTTTTTTCAAAAGATATGCCATTGAATGTTCTAATTGGATCACAAGACAAAAACTTTATAGATATTTTCTAAATTTTGATAGACTTCTAACTGTAAACAAGTGTATCATCGTGCTACTTCTTACAAAGAAAAATAAGAGAAAGTCAAGTTATAATAAATATTCTTCATTCATTTGACCTATAATGTTTTGAACCAATTTGAGATTTAGTGTAGTCTTCAAAGAATGAGGATTATTAATTATTCTTATGTCAAATACCTATCGAAAATAACGTCTCTATTAATTGATCTGAATGCTTCGTCCTGAATTATAGCGTTTTTTCGCTGTTTTACTCTTAAATACATCGTTTAAAAACAATGACCTTGATGCACAAATCGCTAGATTAAACTTCCTTCATGTTCAAAGAAATAGTAAAAAAGAATTAAGCTTAACAAAATAATATAATGAGAACTTGCTTTCAACTAAAGATGATAAAAATATGTTGAGGAGAAATAAGTATTGACTTCGTAGGAACTATTAGTAGAGTGGTGAATGTTTTAGTTTTTTACAATGCTTGAGACAAGCCATTTTATCTAACATTGACTTGACTAAAAATGACCTCAGTTATCAATCAGAAAATGGACTTTTCAGATTTTTTCTTCTAGAAATCAACACGATAATAAATGTATTCAGTGCTATTAGTCTATTGGAATTTAGAAAATAGCAATAAAGACTTTGTCTTGTGATCCAATTAGAACATTCAATGGCGCATCTTTTGAAAAAAAAGATCAACATATTATTATATCTTTGAATATACTTACATGCAAAACAAAAAAAGTCTCACAAAACTTTTCGCATATTTGATATAACTGCAATGATTCTATCAAGATATACTTCAGATGATTTTTTTCTCATAAAATGAAAGGTAAATCAACAAGAGCATTATGATCAGGTAGACGTTATAAAAATGATGGGAGAAAATTAAATGTACATAAGAGACGTTCCACTTCGTTAATCAAGCATATTTTTCTTGCTTCTTGCAAAAATATATATACAGGTATTCGAGACTCAATTTAATGAGTAGCTTCGACTGGCATACTGACTAATTATGTATTTTTCATTGTAGACTTTTTTTTTATAGAAGTGTAAGTTCCTAATAAGACTTCGATTATCATGACGACAGAAAATATAATTCCACCGCCTTCACCAATAATGGTCAATCAATTTAATTTATCTGCTATTCAAAAAGATTCAATTGATGATCAACTTTCTTCAAATGATATTTGTGCTATGTTCGATGAATTTCTTATTGAATTTGAACAAATGGAAAAAAGTGGTGTAACAACAATAAATATATTTTTAGATGCTGTAGAAGAAATAACAAATGCTGTTCTAGCAATTTTACCATATAAATTACTTGATCCTAAAGTTCTTTCTCATCCACTTATGCATTTTCTACATCAAATGCTTATCGATATATTACTTAATTGGCAGGCATCGGAAATGCGTCTAAACATTCAAGAATCAGATATATTTCTTAAGATTGTACTTATTTTTGTTCATGCTGCTGAACAAGCATCTGCAGCTAATGCTAATGCAGATCGACAAAGAATAACAGATCTGTTATCAACAAGACAGTTTCTCAGTTTAGTACGTGAACAAATCGAGGATTCTGCTATGAATAAATCTGGCATTAATGATGATCCAAATATATGTACATTAGGTTTGTTAACAATAAAATTATTGGAAGGATGTCCATTCTATTATAGTATGGAACGAAATGCAAATTTAATTGACACTTGTAAGTTTTTCTATATAGACATTTTTATATAATTCATGTCTCACTACTAAGATCTTATATAATTTAGTGGTATTGAATTGTATTGATTCATATGATTATGTTTATGCAATGCGTCAACAACAATATGGTGCATCACTTACTGATATCGATCGTTTTCTTTTGTTTACTTGTTGGGAATATATGCCTGTCGTTGTTCTACCTTCACAATCTTCAACGAACTCATTATATAAAATCGATTCCATTTATAATATTTATGATGAACTTTTAACACGATTTGAATATGCTCTTGATCAATCATCATCAATCACATCTTCTGATCTTTCTTATACTTTCGAACGATATCAACAACTTCTCAATGTTCACAATCTTCCTTCTTTCGATAAACATG